GTTTACTCTAGTTACTATATAATATATAAATATATTTTAATAATTATCTGTAATTACCATTTAGAGTAGAAACTATTTAATTTATTAAGTATAATCTGTTCAATAGGTTTAAGAAAAAATATACCAAAATGTACAGCTACGTTTTCGTATTGTTTCGTGTCGTACCATTCGCATCCTTTCGGTCGCCCGTAATCGAAAAGGCGACGCAGTTTTTTTCTCCTTCAAATTATATCATTTTTAGCGGAAAGACTCGTATCGAAACACGAAATTCACATGATAATAATCGATTATAATCGGGCGATTGTAAACTGTACCGATGGTAAACTCTCCCGGGTCTACTCCAGTGCTGCTACCTGACGGAAACGTGTACAATTTCCGGGGCCAAGTAAAAATCATAAAATAAATTTGATATAAATTTAAGTTGCGTTTAAAAATAATCGATCATAATATATAATAACTAAGGCTCGGATGTTGTTGCATTTGCAATTTTTTTTTTCTATTGTTCGGATTCCAAATATATTTATAATATGTCATTTAATATTGTGTAGAATTTCGTATTTATTATCAAAAATAGCCTCGAAAATTGCAATCAACCGATAAGAAATGCAAGAAATAATTATTACATAGACAAACGCTGATGTTTTGGTCGGCGGTAATGTTCCGATGACATCAGTAGGCACCGTCCAACGTCGTCTTTGTCGTTTGTATTTGTGAATACAAATTACACACACACACAAGCGTATGTATGCAAATGCACGCCGTTATCATCGCCTTTGAGTACTAAAAATAAATGCGGTATACTGGTATTATGGTCAGCCCGAGTTCAACGTATAAACACATTATCAGCTATTATCTTTACAGCCGTCACTTTGGTGTTATGATTTAAACATGTATCTTAAGAGTAAGGGGGGGGGGATTGCCTCACCAAAAAAATACTACCAGAACCGCCACTCGAGTGAATAACATTGAATACTTGTACCTATCGGAATATATAAATATTATAATTTGAGTATTGGACTTAAATTTGTTTGAGTTCGGCTTCATGGATAATAATATATTCATACATTCAAATAAAACAAATGTAGTACAAATCGCTTTTAAGACTTAAGACTTTGGTATTAACCTAGTTAATTATAAATCGTTATAATCACAAACGACACACCTTTGATACACAGACACGAAGAGAATACAAAACATTGTTTTAAAAATAATTGAAAAGTACCTGGGGTAGGTCGTATCATTGATCATACATATTAATATCAATGGTCGTATATCGTGTTACACCCCTAGAGTCTAGCAACTATTTTATAGTTTTATATACGACCATTGATATTAATATGTATGATCAATGGGGTGTAACACGATTGCGCCTGGCTTACCTTTTTCCATTCAAAAAACGCAATACGATTGCGCTCGACCAATTAGCAATATTGCGCTCGTCTATAACCTTTTTTACCTGCATAAAACAATAAAACATTATCTCGATTACTCGGTTGTACATATGGGGAAATCAAGTCCAAGGAAAACCAAGTCCGACTGTGTTTTTAAATAGTGTACTAGAAAATTGTTATATAACATATACATATACGGGACAAACACACATATATATATATATATATTAGAGCGCAATCGTGTTGCGTTTTATGCAGGTAAAAAAGGTTATAGRCGGGCGCAATATTGCTAATTGGTCGAGCGCAATCGTATTGCGTTTTTTGAATGGAAAAAGGTATAAGCCGGGCGCAATCGTGGTTCACCGAGACTCTAGAACAAGCCTTACCTAATGGCTGATACAAATATGAACCTACCAATTATATCGCGATTCGTAATATGCCCGCACAAAATTGTGTTCAAATGTTCAGACTATGCACGGCCTTAAACAATCACCGGCCCTTTATGACACGCAGTAAGTAAAAAAAAAAAACAAATGTACAAGACAGTAAGATATACCTGTACAAGATAACTGGATGCGCCGGTATATTTAAATTATTTGCACAGAGCTATATTACATTTACGCCTACCTCTAATAGCGCTTATCGGTTAAATATTTAAAACTGGGCTTATAAAGGCCAGTCCCCGCGGCCCACCGGAGCGTCGCGTGGATTTTTTTAGCCGATCGGCCGTAGTCGCGGGTTCCCGATGCATGATGGTCGCTGGTTTTTAAACATCGAAAAAAGCAGCGCGCGCGGATGGTACGCACAACGCACCTCAATGTGCCAGTATTCCGCCAACGTTGGCACAGCTGCTGCGGCAAACATTGGCTAGCCCTTGCTTGAAGTTAAAACAAAGTCCATAAGCACAATGATCGTAGCCCGTCATGTGCCAGTACTAGATCAACACTAAGCTACCAGTGCTGGTTTTCCAGTACTGGTGTAGTACTGGATAAAATCATAGTCAGTATTGTACCCGTGAGGGCCAGCCAACCGCCGGTACTGCGCCTTTTGTGCGAGTGTCGGCGTAACTCATCATTTTCCGATCGGGAATGTCTGATTTCGTAGCTCGAATATCGTAATACGCGGCTATAATTATTATTTACCAGTTTTTCGGTGATCACGAAATCATAATTTATATTTTATTTTATTTGTCAATGGCTCAGCAGTCAGCGCCCCTCTCGCCGTGTATTTTAAACATTTTAATGTTTTATTATTTATTATATCCGTCGGCTTGGCATGTGGTAAATTGTACATTTGTAATTTGTATCACATTCGGTCTACGACTATTTAAATAGCCATTGAGCTCCAGCTCTGGTTAGTAGTTAATGTATAGGTATTTGTTAGGTTATTTGAGTTAACACTTAATATCAATGTTTAAAATAGAAAACAGATAAGTATTTGGAAACTTATATAATGTTTGTTAAGAACTTAAGGTACATATAGATATAAAAAAATGAATTTCGTGGACTCTAATGCCTATAATAAAACGAATAGGTAGTTAAATAATTAGTTTCCCATTGTCTTATTCTTATAATTCATAGAAAAAGGTAACTACTGTACATTAATTAACCTATAGTTTAGTTAAAAACAAACGTTGTGAATTTGGATAAAACATTTATATTTTATTATAAATAACATGAACATGAACACTTTCTGTTTTTTTTTTTTTATGGGGGGGGGGGGTCATCAAAAGTTCTGTTTTATCCAGATTTCTCAGCACCCATATTAACCCGAATAATAACGGTTTTGAAAACCCAAATGCTTATTTAAATTTTTCATTCGTGTGTTTGAACACCCAAATACATCCAGCACCCGAAACCCGAATAAATGATTCGGGTGCAAGGCCCTGGTCTTTGGACTATGCAACTTTGGCTCAACTAATCTCAATTTTTAAAATAGGTTTTGATTTATTTCCGGACAAGTGTATTGCCTATAATATGTTCAGATACATGCTCGACGAAATCGAATAATTTTAATAGTTAATTTTTAGCTGAAATATTAACAAACGCAATGATTAAGTTTTTTTCTATAAATTAAACAGTGTTTAATATTTAAAATTGTTTTATAAAAACATATTTGATTTTCGAATGAATCAAAACTGTTAATCCGTTTTCAAAAACAAAACCTGTTTGTCTGTCTACCGAATGGGTGATATAATATTATACCAGTCAATTCATCAGGAAATAAAAATAAAATAAAAAATATTATAAATATAAATTAATACGACTGAGGCTTCTGTCAATAGTTGTTATATTAACATTAATTTATAAACAGGATGAGTTGATGTTAATGGGTCGAAATCGTTCTCTAGTCCTAGAAGAGCTCGAGAATATCACACCAGATATAGGTATTGAAACATCTACATTTGCGCCATAACTTTCCTCCTGATCGTCGGAGGACTCTGGAGGTCTCAATTCGAGGATGTGATCAATTAATAAACCGTGGTAATAAAATATTTATCAATAAATTATAAAAATCAACATAGATAATATTATGATGCTCACGCACCACAACCACATTCGCAGCTGTGTTTGATTCACGCAGATGACTTAATAAAGTTAAAAAAGTCTTAAAAACACTCAAATCGGAATTAATACAACACTGATAAATGTTCGTTAAGAATGGAAAAGTCAGTTGTCCGTTGCAGGATCCGATGTGGTTGAATTGGCCGGCACTGGTGAATGGTGCTCATGCACTGGTAAATGGGGCTCATGCACTGGCGAATGGTGCTCATGCACTGATGAGAGGAGACGACGTGCTCAAACCGGCCAGAGTCGCAGGCGGCTCCATCAAAGGCCTCTGCGTTTCCAAAGATTTACCGATATCCTTGGTGACAGAGACCCTCGTCCGACCATCCCTTGTCTCCGGCGGCACACGAAATAGGATCACACGCGCAGCGCCAAATTGTCACAGCTACGAATAAAATCCTCTCATCAGTGATCAATAGTGTTTTATTGGGTTTCAACGGTTATCAGCGTGCGACAACTTGCAGGCCGTTATTTATCTTATTGAATATTTAAATTAACTTATAAACATATGACATGTGAGCACATCATTACACAACCAAACTAAAAAGTTGGGTTTATCTTATGACTGGGCTTAAAGTTCTGAACTCTAAATAAATCGTAAATATACCTTCGAATTTTTTTGTTTCATCGCCTACTGAAATACAACAGCCTTCAAATTGCAAACGCGACGTAGCAACGTCCTATTATTATGCATTAACTTCGTGTATCTTCCAATCGACATTTCGTGTGGTGACCACTAACGTTTTCAGTTCTGCACATTTTGGTCGCAACAACGATCGGTGATTAAAAAAAAAAAAAAAAAAAAACTAAAACGATGTGGCGTTGTATTGATTTGTGTGGATCTCCGACTGTGGTGTGTTTGGCTGTAAGAAATTAAAAAACGCATCTTTGTTGAACTCAGGTCTAACGCGATTCGTTGTGAAGTACACCAACTTTGATAGAGAGGTGTGGCGAAGGGTGAATAATAATTTTCTGCATACATTTAATATACATATACGCGAACGATTGTCATTCGCAGACGACGAAAAAAAAAAAACAGAAATATTATACCGTATCACTTTCATTGTACAAAACGAATAACTATAATTACGTACACAAAGCGCCTGGACGCTAATGAAAATAATCACAGTAACAACAATAATAATAATAATAATAATAATTGTCGAGTACGCGCATAATCCTGGCGTGGGCGTTGCATTGTCGTGTGTATTTGGCCTGTTCACCACATGAAGCATTTCTTGGAAGGGTTCATGGGACTTCCGACCGGACATTTCCAGACCTCTGAAAACTCAGGACTGTTTCTCAGTGAGCCTAACACCCGGAAGACGCTGGGGCTGTGCTCGTCGAAGTTGAAAAAGCCGACGTTTTCGGAATTCTTGTCTTCCGAATTTTGGCACCACACCTGTATACGACACAATATTATTCATAACATTGATTATAACATCGTCATCGATAACGCTTCGCATAATATTATACGTTTCATGTAATACTCTGTTCAGCGAGAGAGCGCACGGACTCTGCGCACCTCCCCCCCGCCGAGCCGCAATGCTAACGAAACCGGTTCCACTATGGCGGGATGTCAGGTGGAGATGATCAGAAGAATCGATTTTGGAAGTGCTGCCTTGCGTTCTCTCGCTGAACAGAGTATAGACAATAACCTCATTAATACGCTGTTTATAATTTTATTGATGTTTTTATAGGGCTTCGAGGAAGTTCGAAAAAGGAAGGAAAAATATGCTTGAAAAAATGTTATGTTTGTAAAAAAAAAACCATTTTATGTTTTTATTAATTGGCACCAAGGGAAATGTGAAATTTATAATATTTCAAATTCCATTTTTTATTTTTCATTAAATTGAACTGGAAAAAATAGTTGAGAAAATAAATTTGAAAAAACATTGTATCCAAATAATATAAGCATGATAAAGATTAAATCGCACTCAGATCGAAACCGCTGTCGATAAATGAATAGTCAACTGTGATAATGACAATGAACCACGCTAAATAATATGAAGTTTGAATTAATTTTGAAATTTATATTCAACTTAATTATAAATAAACACATCCGAAAAAAGAATAAAACTCGATTTTAAAAAAAATAAATATTATTTACTATTAGATATGCATAATATTATGTGCATGAAAATGAAGAAACTATTTCCCAAAATTGACGAAATATGCATTTTAAATTTTCGATTTTTTTCGTTGTTAACTCGGATTTCTAGCTTGGTCAGTTCGATAAATCGAGAGCATATACAATTTGCAACTCTTACAACTCCGAATTCTAATTAAAATAGTTTCGTCCGACAAGCCTTTCTTATATTTTGATTACTCTGTTACCGATAACATCATGATTATTATGAATTAATTAACATTATTTGTTATTGTTTTATTGTGGTTATTACGAAACGGAAGAAGCTGTGTACCCACCACACGGATGTCGTTAAATTGCCTATCCGGAACGCCGTGTCTTCGTAATCGTATTAAAATATCGAAATCGAAGAAATTCTCTGGATGCTCGTCATCTAAAATCTCGTTTATTGTTCTATGTGTTTTAACTAGTGCTCAAAAAAAATTAATGTTACTGGAGTTTGAAAAACAAAAACACCGTAAAACCATAAGAGCTCAAATATTGATATTAAATATTTTTATACCTTCTTTTTATAAAACAAAGCTTTTCGTCATAGTTATAGACAATTCGGCTGCGATTTCGTCATAACATGAACATCAATCAGATGTTTGGTACAACTTATGCGTACCACAACTGCGTGTTTTACTATAGTTTTAGAGATTTTAGAAAACTGCGAAACCGTTAGTGTCTTTGTCTCTGATTTATCGGTTAGATTTATAGTACAATTTTGTGGGTATCATATTTTCAGTCTTTCAGACGGACGAGGGCGGGGAACGAGAAGAAATGACGATGCGACGTAACTTTGTAAAAACAAAAACTTCTCTCCATTTTTGTAGAGGACAAAATGATCAATCCGATCGAATGTCGCTCATATCCTCATCCAGTTTACTCACGTTTGCGTAAGACAAGAAGAACAGCTGGTCGTTGGAGTACTCGGTGAGTCCTGGCAGACTGGATTTTTGATTGATATTTTGCGATTTGTACGCCCTCCACGACTGCTTCAGTCCTACGTTGTCGGCCATGTTTTCGGCTAAAGTAAGCGTGCCGTTTAGCTGAAAAAAAAAATGCTTGCCAAGTAAGAGATCGGTATGTAAACTTCTTTGATTATTAATTTTTAGAAATTATTATATGCGTATATTTTATTGCAATATGAATAGGCCGAAATTGAATTTCAGAACTTTAACTTCAATCGTTAATTCACTACAAAGCTTTAAAGGCGAAAAACATTTTTTTAAAAAATGCCCAATAAAATGTAGTGAATTAACTATTAATGATAAAGTTCTCTTCACTACACTGCACTTCTCCTAGTCAATGTGAATATAACAAGACGCCAAATAACAAAATTCGAAAACCAATAAAATCAAAATGTAAATATAAGAGATATTATGTATTTCTATTGTCAATAATGGATTTAAATTCATTAAAAGTTCTACTCGAATTTCTTCAGTTTTAGAAATCTACTCCGCTAAGTGAAAATGACTCTTTTTTTAACTGTGAAAAATTAAATAACTAATTTTTTTCTTTAAATTTAAAATTTCATATTTTTTATCTACTTGATAATCTATTTTTAATGAGCTATTAACCAACATTTTAGTTATCAAATAGAAATTTCGGGACAGTTTACGTTAAAGTTTTCATAGATTCAAATTGTTATACAGATTGGGTGTGATATCGGATTTCTCTGATTAATATTTTATATTAAAGCTAGCAAAATAATTATCCACCTACTCATTATTACTGAGTTACCTTCATTTTTTATTTTTCTACTTAACACAAATTCTTGAAGTTTTCAAACGTTATCGGATTTTTTCGTTTCAATTAAAACCTAACCTAACATTTCCGGGGAGGGGAGCGTGCTACAGTTCTTGTACCACCTCTTTGGCTACGCCACCGTAAAATATAAAATATATTGCTCACGTTTACGTTTGAGTTCAACATAAACTTATCATACTGTTCGATGAAACACTGTGCCCGAACCAAGTACTCTTGTATCACTTTGGGCGACCACTGCGAAGTCTTCCGGCCGTGGATATCGTAGTCTTTACCTAAACAGCGACAACGTTATATTACGACGACAATTTAGTAATAAACATATTTTTATTGCTATGACAGGACAATGTTTCTGTGAGGCCGGATATAAGTCTCGGAGAGCGGGTGTGTGCATCGACTAATATTGGTGGAAGCCTCTTTAAAAAAATATTACCATTTTTAAATTTCTAACTCATTATATTATCATGTGTTATTAATCATATAAAGTTGTATTGTATTGTATTTTTTTTTTTTTTTTTTTGATAAAAATGTCTTAAAAATTAAATAGGTACCTTGTTGTTAAATCGAATCACGATGACTCGCGAGTGTGGGGATGAATCCGAACATCAAGTTAACAATAAACGGATGTGTTTATTATTTTTTTTAAATACCCAACAAATTCATCGTTAATAACAATTTCACCTCCCCTAAATTCGACACCGTATCCAGCTCCACTAGACAAAATAACGGAACTATACGGAAGTGTCGGTAATAAAAATAAGTGAGCATACCTTCGATGTCGAATCCGTGCGAGATTTCGTGTCCGAGAATCGTACCGATGGCACCGTAGTTTACGACACTGCAGCGACGCGTATTATAATAGTCATCAATAGTATAAGGCAAATCATACGGAAAAACGAAACACAATAATATTTTGTTAAAAAATAATTACTCATTTCTAATTTTATAAAATATGAGTTGTCGAACACGTCTGGACTTACTCGACTCCTTTGTTGAAAAACGGTATCTGCAGGATTCCGGGTGGAATGTCTTCGTGGTGGCGAGCATGGAAAAAAAATTACAATCACATCATTTTATATTTTACACGTCAGGTATGAGGTAGGTACAACAATGCTGCAAAACTGGCAAATTAATGATAATTTTTAATCGAATTGAGTTGAGTCGATTAAAAACATTTTAAAAAATGTATAACTAAATAGTAATCCTAATTTTTTACTTAACTGAGTTTAAATGTACTTGGAAACTTACAACTAGGCTGAGTCGAGTAAACTAAGTTAAGTTATTTTTTAAATATTTAATGAGCCAGTAACATGGTTTAAAATATAGTAAATTATTATACAATAAATATCATAAATATAAAATAATACTTACCATCTAATTATTTATAAATTATTATAATTTGGATTTAATTAAAATTAACTCGTTATTAAGTCCATGTCAATAAAAATCATTTAAGTTAAATATTAAGTTGATGAAAATAAAATTTTAAAAAGTTAAGGTAAAAATTGACTTAATATAATTTTTTATCTCGTTTTTGTCCAGGCTTGCCACAATGTAAAGATATTATTATAAATAAGCATTGTTATGAGGGTAGTCAGAAAAAAAAGCCATGGAAAAAAATCCACGGAAAAAAAATCCAAGGAAAAAAAATCCAAGGAAAAAAAAGCCACGGAAAAAAAAGCCAAATAACAATAATTAAATATATAACAATTAAAATTAAAGTATTAAATTAGGTATTATTTAAAAATTGTTTACACATTATTGGTCATATATATATATATATATATATATATATATGTATTTAATTATTAATACACCGGTTATATTATAATATAAACAATTTTATTTTTATATAATATGAATACGGACAATACAGTAGACAAACTGTGTTAAAATTTTTAAAATATACCCTGTGTATTAATAATTATATACCCATATATATATATATATATATATACATGTATTATGTATACAATATGACCACTGTTTAAAAATTTTAAATAATACTTTAAATTTTATTATTTATATATTTGACCAATTTTGTATAAACAATTTTTAAATAATACCTAATTTAATACTTTAATTTTAATTGTTATAGTTTAATTATTGTAATTTGGCTTTTTTTTCCCTGGATTTTTTTTCTTGGCTTTTATTCCGTGGATTTTTTTTCCTACATTCAAATAAGCATTGTTATGAGTAGGTAGATATTAAAATCCTCACTGATGGAGTTGTCCGTTCTACTGTAAAACGCGTTAACTTCCAACGGGTCCGTCGTTATTCTGTAACAACCATCGGTCGGTCGATAATTAATTTCGAAAGCGATGATCATTTTCAATTTATATAATCAAAAATAATATAACATTATTGTATTGTCGTATCGTGTACTTACAATTTCTGAGCGTCCATGTTGATCGGATGGCCCACATTTTCAAGTATCAAACTAATTTCGTAGGCTTTGATGTCCAACATAGTCTTAAGGTACTGGCCTTCTTGGACAATGACCTGATCGAAAAATGTCGTAAAATGTTATAGTAGTAATTACTATTCTGCTTTTATAGTCACAAAACAGACAGTGAAGACTATATTCGACGCGTCGTAGTATTAGGCGGACAAATGTAAAACTCGCCAAACGAAGAGAACAAACTTAGAAATTATGGCCAATACGTTTTGACGTCAATCCAATTTTTGTTTCTTGTAAATTGCACCGAGAAATTTTTTAAGAAATATTTTATTTTTTACCATAACATATTTTATGACACAATTTGTCGTTGTTATTATAGCGCATCGTCGTCACGTGATTCTAATTTTTTTGGTAAAATTAGTTTTTAAACGTTTTCAAGAATGGTTTCTAATTATTTAGCGCTACACCGAAACTTTGTTTCAGCTAACCTAACCTAACCACCGAAGGGTAGGTATCCACGGTGACTCGTAGAATCATTTACTGTAAACGACTATAGCGATAAACGTTCAGATTATAACACATGTGCAAGGTACTAATATTTTTGGTGTCACATTAACGCATTGCGTGTAAAATAGACAATAATTAATTCAAGGTCAAGTGGGTGCAATTTAATAATATACTCATTCACCACCCGTTCGCCATGGGAGCGATTTACAGCCTTCCGGCTACACCCGATGCAGTTTTATAGTTGCAATGAATGCAAATTTCTATGCGAATGCGTCATCGCAAAAAAAACATTTTGAAATTTTTCGTTTATTCGTAAATATTACTATATTAGTATAAAATAAAAATAAAGTATAATATACAGTGTACATTATGATAAAAGTTCAATAAAAATTTTTTTTATAATTTAAAAATTAGAAACTAGAAAGACACATTCACTCTTTATGTGATTTACATACTAATTTAAAAAAAAAGATTAACTTTTTTTAAGCTGAGTTCAGTAGATATTTTTTTCCATATTAAGTTTTAACTTATCGAGTTAATATAAATCTAATGAATCACTCAGTGCAGCACATGTTTAAAATGTTAAATTAATTACTATTTAAAAAAAAAATAAAATTATGTTGGTAATAGCAAAATTTAAGAATTATCGTACTCGAGGTTTTTATCATTTTTTGAACAACTACCAGGTTCCGGAATTATTTATACTCAAGTGATAAGATAAGAGCATTGTGGTGGTATAGATAGTGTGGGTGTGGGAGAGGGGGGAGTTCTATCAAAATAAACCGATCATACCTCGTTCGTACACAAATAATGTTGTCCAATAACCATAAGCGTGCCAAGGCATTGTCCAAAAGGGGAGGGGCTTTATAATGTTGGTCTGAAACATTTACCAAAAACTCCAATAACAATATAATAGGTAATGCGAGATATGTATTATGGTCACAACAGGTGGCAAACATAAATTCAACGATATTTATTTTATATTGATATTTTATCCCGTGTAGATTATAATATGCACTTATGAGTTATGAMTTATTACAGTGTTTTCTTTTTTGGTATGGCAGACCCATAAATTTAATTTTCTGGGTAAGCGACCTTTTACTAAAATTCAAGTACATACCATAATACCAAATATTAAAAAATACCCTTTCACTGCTGTGGACGCATATATGCGTCCAACGTAGGCAACACTGTGGTGCTATGGACGCACATATGCGTCTTTTCATTTTAAAAATCAACARCWGCTATTTTCATTGATGTGATAACATGAACATGTAGTAAATAATCAGAGGAATTCAAAGAGATAMTAAAAATAAAAATCTGACAATTATCAAAGAAGTTATAAGTAAAATAAAATATTTTATTTTCCAGGGTTCCCAAACTAGCATTAATTAATGATAAACCGAAATATTTCAAATCAGATTTTTKATTCCGCYGTTGCAGTAATTACTCGCATATCTTATATTTTATTTTCTGGTTTTAATATTATTACCATATTAGTGTTGTTTGTTTATCTTGGAGTTATTAATAAAATATTAAAAATAAATGTTTGACATAAAAAAATCTAATGTTTCATTGATTTTGTGCATTAATTTATTTAGCGGAGTACATTTTTGAGAAACCCT